TGGTACTCTGTTTGCAAAAAGGAGATTCCAAGTTGTGTAGGGGAAGGTGTGAAAAGGAAATTTCTGGCTTCAAGAGATGTGCAGGAAGCAAGACACAAGCAGCCAGGCCCAATTCCAAACACCCCCTGCTGTGGGAGGGCTAGAAACCAGCTGCAGTTCCTAATCTCTGACCCCTTATCTCCAGCTGGGATGCATTCTGTTAACTAGCAAGCTACTCTTACTAAATCATTTAAATGTAACTTTTTTTTTTTGGGGGGGGGGTCCGGTCGTGGGGCCTAAACTCTGGGCCTGGGCGCTGTCCCTCAGCTCTTCAGCTCAAGGCTAGCACTCTACCACCTGAGCCACAGCGCCACTTCTGGCTTTTTTTTTCTTTTTGCTTATGTGGTGCTGAGGAATCTAACCCAGGGCCTCATGCATGCAAGGCAAGCACTCTACCACTGAGCCATCTTCCCAGCACCAAAATGTAACAGTTCTTGATATGCCCAAGGCATGAGGTTCTTGAAAAATAGATTTTCAGATTGTTTTCATCAGTCTGAAATAAGTAGTTATTTGTTATTCGGACCTTGGCCTAAGGTTTTCAATTTGTAGTCTGCGCCTTGCAAATACAAAGGAATTTAAGAAAAAAATATCGTTTTAAATTGGCACTTAAATAGAAACTTGGCTTTGTAAAAAACAGACTCTTTTTTATCCTACTTGACGACTCAGTCATCCCGCTGCATTCGCACCTGCGGCTGGCAGCGCCGCCGGAGCCGCGCCTCCACGTGGGCCTCGCACCTTGTTAGCTGACTGGAGGGGTGTCTCACCGGTTTGTCTGTCTCCGCTGGCTCGGAGCCTCCGCCTACGGAGTAACCAGATTACAGGCCGGGCCCGCCGCTAGCCTTACTAATTCAGAGCACCTGGAACAACGGTTAGACTTCATCCGAGAGCACAGAAATCCCTGCTCAGATTCCCGAAGCCCAGCGGTGCTCGGGTGTCCATCCTCGGTCCGCAGCTGCCCAGGCTCGGGGGCCTCCGCCGAGGGGGTGCGGCCTGGGCTGAGCTAGCCGGGCTCCGCCGAGGGGAAGGGGTGCGGCCTGGGCTGAGCTGCCCGGGCTCGGCGGAGGGGAGGGGGTGCGGCCTGGGCTGAGCTACCCGGGCTCCGCCGAGGGGAGGGGGTGCGGCCTGGGCTGAGCTACCCGGGCTCCGCCGAGGGGAGGGGGTGCGGCCTGGGCTGAGCTGCCCGGGCTCCGCCGAGGGGAGGGGGTGCGGCCTGGGCTGAGCTGCCCGGGCTCCGCCGAGGGGAGGGGGTGCGGCCTGGGCTGAGCTACCCGGGCTCCGCCGAGGGGAGGGGGTGCGGCCTGGGCTGAGCTAGCCGGGCTCCGCCGAGGGGGTGCGGCCTGGGCTGAGCTACGAGGGGAGGGGGTGCGGCCTGGGCTGAGCTGCCCGGGCTCCGCCGAGGGGGTGCGGCCTGGGCTGAGCT